AAAACTTTTCTGTTAAAGTGTTTAAACCGTCCAAACAGGATTTGGAAGGATTCCACAGCGCTGAGGAAAAAGAGAATTGTGATCGCTTAAATTAAAATTCAACCAGTGCACCAAGTTTAAGAACCAAAGCTTTGAAAATAAACAAAAATTACCAATGAGTCAGTAATCACTGCAGACCCCTCCTAGGCATTACCCTAAATCTGGTCTTATGCTAAGGAATGGTCCCTGCACCCAGGGGACCACCTACCCAGCTTGAGGAGGTGACTGAGATACCGTGGCTGAGTCTGGAGCCAGGCAAGCAGCCTCTCAGCCGCAGAGCATCCCAGTACTCTCTGAAAGTAGGGACAGAAGACTCGGGGGATAAACATGTCTTTTGCTAGGGGCCCTTCTGCCAGTAGAGCCCAGGGGCTGAGGTATGTCTTCGGATCCCCTCTCCTGACCCTGGGTGTAGTAAGTATTCAGTAAGTGGTTGTTGAATTGAATTATCTGGATTATTCTACTTTATACAAATGAAGCATGATGCACGTATTTTACATTTGGGGAATTATTTTCTACTAGCTTCTTTTTGAAGTGGTATTCCTGGAATTTTCCCTGACCTTTGAAAATACCTGTTGTCTTTTTTCCCCTGCAGTCCCTCCTCCTCCTCTCCCTCAAAGTACTTTATGGCATGTATAGTAGTTAAATTATGAACTAAATGGATTCAGTTTGAATAATTTATAGGAAGTTGTCAAATCATAAGCAAAATTCAGGAATGTTACAAAACATAGCTCACAAACTGCTATTCAGAAACCAGAAATTCAGGGAATCAGGGAAGTTTGGGGGTTTCCAGGTAACACTGAAGTCTGAGGGCTGTATTTTCAGGTCTTTTCTCTCACTTTGCCTCCAAATACTGCCTTGCTTGCCTTTAAATTCTTTGACTTCCTCCTATTTCATCTGTGGCCATACAATTGCTCTCCAGAAGTCACAGAGGCAGTGAGTAGGAAGTGGAGTTTAGTATTTCATAACATTGTTTCATTTATCCTGGAACTTTCTTTAAAGTTCAAAGGTTTCTGCAGTAATGTTATATCTCACTATGTTAAGGACTTTTTAATTCTAGAGGACAGTTCGAGTATCTTTTTCACATACATATGAAGAAAACATACATATTTCATTTATTTACCTATATTTTTTCATTAATTTATATATATGTATAAAATCTCATGTAAAATTTTACATTGAAATCTTTCCAATGATGTTTCTTTTTATGCATTGTATAGTAAAAAATAGTAAGACATTCTGATAATACCTTTTGAAGATGGACTGACACTGACAATTATATATTACCTCCAATTTGAAAGTTTAAAATCACATTTTTTCTTATATTCTTACATTGTGGGCTTGTATTCAGCATGCGTAAGTTACTGATACTTTTGAATTATACACTTATATTTTTAAGAATCAGTTAATAAAACATCTTTTTTTGTGAATATCATGAATAAAACAATTTTA